CAGCTTCAAGTCCGCTGCAGGAGAGGGTGGCTCCTGGAGACAGTCAGGATGCCAGTTGGGAAATAAACCCTCACAAACTAGAATTCCAGCTCAGACAGGAAACCCATCCTCTTCAGAATAACTTATGCCAATCTGACTAAATTATTCCCGCCCACCCTTCAATGGCTCCCTGCTGCCTTCAGGTCACCCCTCACACCTCTTCCAGGTTCCTGTAAGCCCTCGCTTGGTACTTCCCCTCTGACTCACCAGCAATGTCCTGAGGACTCGTCATAGGTGGGGCTCTGCACTGGGTCTGGGGGTGAAGCAGTAAACCTAGAAGACCAAGAGCCCTGTCCTGAGGGCACTTGGGGAGGAGACAGTCAGTAAGAAAGAGAAATAAGGAAAATCCAAGGAGAGACGTCATGGTAGGTTAGGACCCTGGAAGGGTTTTCATTTGGGATGGTGTGACCAGGAAAGGTGCCACTGAACAGGTGGTGTCGAGTTAGGACCCGGAGGAAGTAGAGCGTGAGCCTCCGCTCACCTGGATGAAGAACGTTCCAAGTAAAGGAAGCCCCGGGGGATGCCTAGGCCTACATTGGGAAGGGTGCCAAGTGTGTTGGGAAGGGGTCAGTACTGGGAGTAGAGGGCATGAGAGGGAAAGGGAGCCAGAAGGGAGGTAACGCAGGGTAGGGGAGAGGGCATGGTTAGCCTCTGTAGGTCATCAAGACCAGCTGGTTATGGTGGTGGTGGTGGTTAGTTAGTTTCTGGCAAGTTGGTCTGGACTTTGAACAAGACTGTGTATACCAGCAGAATAAAAAAACCCACTCTGAGCCATCCTCACATCTGTCCGTACGTTTGAGCCCAGTGTTGCAGGCACTATGTCCATCCATCTTGTTAAGGGTCTTCCTCTTCTTCTTCACTGCCCCTCTGTGGTACCAAGCCTGATGCCCTTCTCCGGGGACTGGTCTCTCCTGACAGCATGTCCAAAGTATATGCCTGAGATAAAAGTCTTGCCATCCTTGCTTCCAAGGAGCATGCTGGCTCGATCTCCTCCAAGACTCGCACTGAGCTTGAGTGAAACGGGGAGCCTTTGGAGAATGCTGAGCACGGATTGGCATTCAAACAGGGTTGCTTCTGGAAGAAGAAGGGGGTGAGGGTGGAAGCTGGAAGGCCGCTTCAAAGACTACCGTGGGCGTGCAGATGTGCGAAGGTAGCAGCTGGCCACCGTGGAAATGGTGACGGTGGTAGGAAACGTTGGATTCCGGCTATATTTTGAAGGTATCGTTGGGAGGATTCTGACTCTATTTTGAAAACAGTGGCAAATCAAATGGGAATCCTAAGAGGCGCTGAGGACCCAACCAGAGTTTTACCCTAGGCAACCGCAAAACTGGAAGAATGGAATCACCCTTTTCTGAGATGGGAAAGATGAGAAGAAAATGTGGTTGTGGTAGAACTCTCAGAAGCTCAGTCCTAAGAGCCACACTTATGATAGTGTATTAAAATGTCAAGCTTGAGGTGGGGGGGTGGAGAATTTTAAAAGTTCTTGAGCAAATGGAATTGAAAACCAGAATTTTTCTAGGACTTTTGGAAGCCCCCTTGTCTACGTGTGTGTCCTCCACCAGATTAGGAGTTCCTTGAGGGCAGGAACTTTGACCCACGGGGTTCCCAGGCCCAGGCAGAGCGCCCAGCCCACTCTGCTGTTCCTGTTAGTTGTCATTGAGCCCCTTCTGATTGACCACATGTCACAGCGCAGAGCATTTTTGTGACTGCTATCTTCACAGCAGAGCAGAGAGCCAGGCCCTTTCTCCTGCCATCCCATTGGGTGGGTTTCAACCACCAGCCTTCAGGATAGCGGTCAAGCAGAAGCCGTTGGCACCACCTTGGGAAAAGATGGCGAGACTTCGCCTCACGTACTTGGCCATGTTGTCAGGAGAGACCAGTCCCTGGAGAAGGGCATCGTGCTTGGTAAAGCAGAAGGGAGCGAAAGAGGAAGGTCTTTGACAAGCTAGACGGGCACAGTGGCTGTGCAATGGCCCAAACATAAGAACCATTGTGAGGATGGCGCAGGACCGGGTGGTGTTCAGGCCTGTTTGCTATGAGTCCAATAACCGGTTGACTAAATATTGGGTGGATGGATAAGAAAAAGAAAAATGGGTGGCTGGAGAAAGAGATTGTTGAAAGAATGCAGATGCAGGAAAGAAAATGAATGGATGGGCGAGGGAGAGAGGGAAAGAGGAGGAAGGTGTGGTGAGGCAAGAGCTAGAGGAGGATTCTCACGTCCTAGTTTGCCTGGGAGGAACCCTAGTGGTACAGCCGGTTTACCACTTGGCTGTCAACCCAAAGGTTGTCTGATCAAATCCACCCAGAGGCCCCACAAGAGAAAGAGCTAGTGACCTGTTCTAAAGATTACAACCTAGCAACCCCTGTGCTGCACTGCCCCGTCACAGCACCCAATGGCAGCACTTTGCCTTAAGAAAGTCCCTCTCCTCTGGGAGTCTCCATCTCCTCTGTGCGGAACGGCTTATTGTCCTGCTGCCGTCAAAGACGGATGGAGGATGGGAAGCCCATTGCGATTGAGATCTGAAAGCATTGTTTACAACTAAACAAATTTGGACTTGACATCCAAATCCAGATGATTCCCATTCATGGTGACTCCATAGAGTGATTTCTCCCAAGGACTAGCTGGAAGGTTCAAACGGATGACCTTCTGGTTAACAGCCCACTCTGCCATCACCGACAAAACCACCCACAGATGAAAGCAAGGCAGGAAGACTGGGCTTTCTACTCCCTTCAGCAGTTACCGTCGGTGAAACTCACAGGGGTCGCTATGAGTCAGCACGGACTCATTGGCAGAGAGGATTGGTGCCTACAGGACCTAAGAAACTTTGCGCTAATTTTTTTAAAGAATGACGGTGTGTGTGTACTCCAACATGTTACTCCTAAGTAATGTGATTATGAAAGATCTTTACTTTCCTCTTTTGACTTACTTAGTTTCCTGGATTTTCAAATGCACACCTGTCTTACTTATGAAAGGGGGAATGGTTACCTGAAATAGAGGATTAAAATTAGTGTTAGCGTGGGGAAACGTAATCTCTTATACTATGCCTTTAGAACCTGTAGACTTTGCTTTTCTCTTGTTTAGTTCTAACCAGGATCAACAACCACACTCTGCTGGATTATTCCCTACTCGATGCTCCAGAGATTACTGAGAACTACATGGACCTGAATCTGAAGGTAATTGGATCATCCTCAGAATCCTCATTCTGACTCACCAGTCAGTAACTGGGAAACAAGTAGGTGCAAAGGGAAATCAACATGCATGCTCTTCAAATAATGTAATGTCTTTTGAAGTCGTGCCTCCATGTGTACACTCTTTCAGAAACCTCTTTGGCATTTTCTTGATTGTCAAATGATTATTCGGAGTGCACATGCTATGTCTATCTCCTTTATGAGTAGTGTCACAGCTAGAGGAGTGGTCTGGATGTACTAGACCCTGACACACAATTGATGATACCCGTTGATACTCTTTTTCTTAACTCTTGGGTTAGCTGATTAATCAGATCGTTAACCTTTGAGAATAGTATTTGCTAATTCTGACAAAGTAATGGATTATGCTTATATGTGTAGTCTTGGTCCAAAGACTAATGTAATCATGTGTTTGTTTTTAAATACACATTGACTTGTATTTCACTCATTTGGGATTATTCAAAGCAGTTAAATATTAGCCCATACAACAGTTTGCAGTAACTTCCAAGGCTAATGAGGGCAGAGTTAGGCACATCCCCAAAATGCTTCGAACCCTTCGGAGCCCTGGGTCCTTCTGCATCTTTCTGAGACTCAGGTGTTCACAGCCACACCTTCTGAAGGCCAAAGTTTTGGCATCTCTACCTGGCACTTTAGGACTTCTTTAGAACTTGTCTTTTCCCACTCAATGTCCTTTCTTTGAGGAAGCTACCAGCCAGGAGATCCCCACTGGGTTTATACCCAGGATGGGCCAAACAGAAAAAACTAACCCACTGCCATTGAGTCCTGCTGACTTATAGTGACCCTATAGGACAAGGTAGAACTGCCCCTGTGAGTTTCCAAGACTATAATTCTTTAAGGAAATAGAAAGTCCCATCTTTCTCACATGGAGCGGCTGGTGGTGTTAAACTGCTGACCTTGTGAATCAGAGCCCTCTGCGTAACCTCGACACCACCAGGGCTCCTTGGACAGACATGCTTAAACCTGCTCACCGAGTCTCGGGGACTGAGCTAAAGGTCAGAAGGCTTCATCAGGTTCCCGTTCCTGCGGAGTTTCTGGAGCCCCCAGGTCACGCAAATGGTGACACACTGCGCTGCTAACCACAAGGTTAGAGGTTGGAGCCCACCCAGTGACACCTCAGGAGACGGGTCTACTCTGTAAAGTGACAACCCTTGCAGAGCCTCGGGAGCGCAGCTCTGCTCTGAAAGACACAGACTCACCAGGAGCCAGGCAGACTGCACTTGGGAAACGGGTTCTTTCATCTGGTTTCTTTTTGGGTTCATCCTTTCCCTGAGTTTCTGGAATTTTCCTGATGTTGCCTTGAGAACATCCACCTTCTTTAGTGCTGCACCTTTGAGTTTTCACCCGCTGAATTTTTCTGCTTTCCCACAGGGCACATTCTACCCTCTGGACAACCTGGCTGACCCGCCCTTCGCCCCAGTTCCCTTCACACTCCCAGAGCGCACTGACGCTATGCTCTACCTGGGCATCTCCGAGTATTTTTTTAAATCCGCATCCTTCGCCCACTTCATGGCTGGGGCTTTCAATGTCACGCTCTCCACCAAGGAGGTGAGTCCAGTGAACGGCTGGTGGCACTTGGCACCGCTGTTTGAGCTCCTTTAGAAATAGCCCACTGTGAGACTTGCAGGCGGTGGTGTCTAGTCATGAGCTAACCACCTCGGCGGAAGATGCTGCGCTCAGGAGTTAGGAAGTGAGTATCGTTATCCGTTGGGGAGTTGTCTGCAGCTCTGCTCAGGTCAGCAGGGTCTTTTTGGTTTTGTTTTCGTGATTTCTGGAGACTCTTCTAGGTAGACTTGAAAGAATGTCAAGTTTCTCCTTCGATCACTTATTGCCGGTGACCTTTGGCAATCTCAATGAATTTCCCTTCTCTGTCCCACTTTCCTGGTTTGAGAAATGAGGACAATAATGGTTCCCCCTTTATGGAGTTGATCCTGGCATTAAAGCAAAGCATGAAGACCAACGTCTGGCAAATAGTTGGTCCTAAATAAGTGCTATTCACTGTAAAAACAGCCTGGGCATGAGGTCTGGCCTCTTCTGACTTCACAGAATCAGCCCAAGACCAGTGCCCACGAGGTGAAGGTCAGAGATACTTCCACCTTCCAACCTTCTTTACCACGTCAGACACTGACCGCTTCTACCCAAGGCACTCGCTCCTTCTCTGCTGGGCTCGATGTTTCATTGCCATGGCCACGGCTGACTCACAAACAAGACTCATGTGGGTGGGGTTTATTCATCGGGTTAACCAGGCACAATTCAGGATCAGGAATTCTCAGGATGCAGCTCTTCCATCAAGACACGTTTTTCTCAGTGATGGCCACAGGCACACCTCTCTCTGATTCTTGGCCTCTCAGCCACTCAATCCCTTGGCCTCTGCTCTGCTCTGCTCAGGTTATTCATACAAAGCTCTTTCACTCTGCTGATAAATGCCCAAAGAGCACCCCACTCCACAAGAAGTAAGACTCCACCAGGATGCTCTCAGCTCTAGCTAGCTCTATGGGTCAGCAAGCCTAGCCTTCTAGATTAAGTGTCTAGCGACACCCTACTCAGTAAGCAAGCCTCTTGCCCAAAGGCACTCGGTTTTCTGGCTCCAGGGCCAGGGAACCCATCCCTCTGCATTGGGCTCTTGGTTTTGCTGCCACCGCTTTTCTGCTGCTCCTCGGCTATCAAAGTTCTGTGTCGTGGATCGAGGGGTTTCAGCATGTGGAGGTCTCAGGGTCCAAAGGATATGCTCCGCTTCTTCTTCTCTCGTGATGGCAGGAAGATCCCTATTCCTGAACCCAAGAGGCTAGAAAAACTGACCAATCCCCACAGTAGAGTTCCATACATCCTGTCTGTATGGTCTCACCAGTCATCTGGTGGCAGTGACAGAAACTATGGCTGGAAGAGTATATCAAGTAATTCACCGCCTCACTCTTAACATCATCTGGATTATCCCTTGTGTTCTACCAACAGAAAGGTGCCTCCTGATGAATGGATACACAAAATGTGTCGCTTCCATTTTACATAAATAGACTATTACTCAACCACAAAAACAACTGGAGTCCCGGTGTATTCTACAGCATGGCTGAACGTTGAAAAGATTATGCTGAGTGAAATAAGCTAGACCCAAAAGGACAAATACTAAACGATCCCACTTATATGAAAAAGGCAAATGTGCAGAGACCAGCGCTTATTATTGGCTGCCAGGGGTGGGAGGAAGGGGGCTAGGGGAGTTGTTGCTTAGTGGGCACTGAGTGTCTATTGATCATAGTAAGGGCATTTAGCCATGGATGTACAGCATTATGCAAATCATCAATGTCACACACATATACAGGGGGAAATTGTTGGATGTTCTCTTGCTCTCAAAACTCACTGCCAACAAATCCATTCCGATTCACAGCAACCCTATAGGACCCTATAGAACTGCCTCCTGTGAATCTCGGAGACTGTAACTCTTTACAGGGCTAGAAAGTCCCATATTCCTCTTGCAGAATGGCTGGTGGTTTCAAACTACTGACCTTGTGGTCAGCAGCCCAAGTATAATGACTATGCCCAGGACTCCTTTAATGTTTGCTATATGTTTATCTAGATAGACAGAGAGATATTTCTCCTGCTGTCAATTACAATAACCAGTAACAGTAATAACCAGTAATAGTACAGCTACTCATTGATTCTTTGCCATGTGCCTCATCTTGGAATGAGAACCCTTTCTCCAGCCAGTCCAGCTGCATGTACTGACAGTCTTTATGATCGCCCTCACTCTATAGCAATTCAGTTATACAAGTAGTTCTCAATCGGGTGTTCAGTGTCCTAAGTGTAGTGGCACGATCAAGCCTGCCAGGCTGATAATTAGACACTTGCAGCTTCCCATTTAAAAACCATTCATCTGTGAAGGTACATTCCCTCATGTGCCCCAGTAATCTCTAAAGATGAGGACAGCCATGCAAGCCTTATTGTTCATGACCGTGAAGTAGTTACACGTGGGTGATGGCCCAGGTTAAAGACCCTGCCTGAGAAGAAAATCACTTCCCCTGTCCCCTTGAACAACTCATTTCATTCCTCCGAGTCTCAGACTCCCTGCCCTTGGGCAAGAAAGGAAAGGTTACCTACAAACATGAAACATGTTATGATGCAACCACTCCCTAACCCACAAAGCTATAGGAAATACCTTTTTCTCCTTAAAAAAGAAAAACCTATGAAGAACAAAAACCATCATTGTGTGA